TACAATGCCTGCACTCTAAAGGAGGGATTCGTTATATTGGCAGTTTGGAGGGATATGTTGTGTATCTTTATATGTATATGCTTATAAACTGTTGTATTCTGGGCACCTCTGCAAAAACAGTGATTTTGTGTGAGTAAGGTGAAAGCGTTGAATGATGATGAAAGTATTTTGTTTTTGGGGATTTTCTTTCTTTTTGGGTCACCCTACCTCAGTGGGAGACGGCCGACTTGTTAAAAAAAAAAATGATAGAGTGGATAGGGGAACAATGTGGCAGGTGTCACAAGTGTATGGAATAGGTAAAGAGTATTTATGAGGATAGTGAGGCTCAGGAGAGAGATAGATTACTTCCTGGTAAAAGTAGGTCTTAGACAGGGATGTGTAATGTCACCATGGTTGTTTAATGTTTTTAGATGGGGTTGTGAAAGAAGTAAATGCTAGGGTGTTGGGGATTGGTGGGATTAAATTATGGGGAATCAAGTAGAAAATGGGAGTTTACACAGTTACTTTTTGCTGATGATACTGTGCTTATGGGAGATTTTAAAGAAAAGTTGCAAAGGTTAGTGGACGAGTTTGGGAGGGTGTGTAAAGGTAGAAAGTTGAAAGTGAACATAAGAGTAAGGCGATCAGGGTATCAAACGATTTAGATAAAGAAAAATTGGATATCACATTGGAGGGAGGGAGTATGGAAGAAGTGAATGTTTTCATATATTTGGGAGTTAACTTGTGCGGATGGGTTTATGAAGGATGAGGGTAATCATGGAATTGGAGAAGGAAAAAACATGAGTGGTGCATTGAGATATTTGTGGAGACAAAAAACTTTATCCATGGAGGCAAAGAAGGGAATGTATGAAAGTATAGTGGTACCAACACTCTTATATGGGTGTGAAGCTTGGGTTGTAAATGCTGCAGCAAGGAGGCAGTTGGAGGCAGTGGAGATGTCCTGTCTAAGGGCAATGTGTGGTGTAAATATTATCCAGAGAATTCGGAGTGCGGAAATTAGGAGAAGGTGTGTAAGTTAATAAAAGTATTAATCAGAGGGCTGAAGAGGGGTTGTTGAGGTGCTTTGGTCATTTAGAGAGAATAGATCAAAGTAGAATGACTTGGAGAGCGTATAAATCTATAGGGGAAGAAAGGCAGGGTAGGGGTCGTCGTCGAAAAGGTTGGAGGGAGGGGGTAAAGGAGGTTTTGTGGGCGAGGGGCTTGGACTTCCAGCAAGCATGTGGGAGCGTGTTAGATAGGAGTGAATAGAGACAAATGGTTTTTTTGGGACCTGACGAGCTGTTGGAGTGTGAACAGGGTAATATTTAGTAAAGGGATTCAGGGAAGCCGGTTATTTTTATATAGCCAGACTTGAGTACTGGAAATGGGAAGTATAATGCCTGCACTTTAACCCTTTCAGGGTTTCGGACGTACTAGTACAGCTTACGCACCAGGGTTTTTGATGTACTACTAGTACGCCTAAATTCTAGCGCCCTCAAATCTATTGAGAGAAAGCTGGTAGGCCTACATATGAAAGAATGGGTCTGTGTGGTCAGTGTGCGCAGTATAAAAAAAATCCTGCAGCACACAGTGTGTAATGAGAAAAAAAAATCTTTGACTGTGTTTTTGGATTAAAACAGCGAATTTGCACTGTATTTTCGCATGATATTTATTATTGTATTCTAGTTTTCCTGGTCTCATTTTAAAGAATGGAAGACATATTACAGAAATTGAGATGATTTTCACTGGTTTTACAATGAAAAGTACCTTGAAATTGAGCTCAAAGTAGCAGAAATATTCGATTTTTACCAAAGTTCAAAAGTAAACAAATCATGCTAAGCGTCCAATACACGTCAACTGATGAGTCTAATATTCTTTCAGAAGTGCACCGATATTATTTATACCATTTCTTCACTAATGCAGTAGTCTGCATAACAGTAAATCTTCTATATTTTTTGTGAGAATAAAAAATTCAAAGTGGAAAGGAAAAGAATGTAAGAGGGGCATGGGGACATGACTAATCAACAGAGGAAATGTTATTTTAGTGCCAGTAATGTCTTTCTTGTTTTTTCTGGACCCTATTTGGAAATTGGCATCTTTTGAAATTTGTGTGAAATTGGCAAAATTGCTAAATTCTGACCACTGTATTGGATAGTTGAAATTGGTAAATGGGTGGTTTCTTGTACTCATTCGATAGAAAAAATGAAGTTCTAGTGATTTTTGTCGACTAGCACACTGGAATTGGCCGAAAATAGGGCTCAAAATGGGCAAAATCGCCAATGCGTAAACATCGTTGAGACCGCTAACTTTGCGAGAGCATAATTCCGTAAGTTTTCCATCAAATTTCATACTTTTGGTGTCATTATGATCGGGAAAAGATTCTCTATCTTTTCATAAGAAATAATTATTTTTTTTTTTTTAAATTTGGGGGACCCTGAGAACAAGTCTGGGAGAGGGCCTGGGGACCCTGGAAGGGTTAAAGGAGGGGTTTGGGATATTGACAGTTTGGAGGGACTTCTAAACTGTCGTATCTGAGCGCCTCTGCAAAGACAGTGATTATGTATGAGTGAGGTGAAAGTGTTGAATGATGATGCAAGTATTGTTTTTTTGGGGATTTTCTTTCTTTTTGGGTCACCCTGCCTTGGTGGGAGATGGCCGACTTGTTGAAAAAAAAAAAATCCGTTCCAGACACCCAAAAATATTAACAAAATACATTTTTTAAAGATTAAGTACTGTTTTTCATACACAAAACAGTGAGAACTAAATCAAATAAATACATGAAAAATTAAATCACTATTACATACCTTTACTGAAGACTTGTTGACTTATGGAAGATAGGAGGAGGAGAGAAGGAGTTGGGGTTATTGTTTGGAAGGGGGAATCCCCCTCATAAGGACTTTAGGTAACAGGTCCCTCTCTGGGGTTACTTCCCTTCTTTGTCTTTTAATGGCACTAGGACCAGCTTGAGAGTCATTGGACCCCTGTCGCACAAAATAACTGTCCAGAGTGTTCTGTTTCTGGTGTCTTTAAGATTTCCCTAAAATGGGACAAGGTTTTGTCACTGAACATGTTCCAGGTATGGCTTGTTTCAGCTTGGTCAGGGTGATATTTCTAAACAAAATTTTGCAACTCATTCCACTTTGCACACATGTCCTTAATCACTGAAGAAGACACATCCTTCCATCTCACTTCCTTCTCCTCCACTGAAGCAAGTTCCTGAGCTGTGGTCTGTTGCTGTTCCAGTTGAAGGTGTTGCCACTCTTCAGTGCTTAGCTCTTCCCTGTGGTCATTCACCAACTCTTCCACATCCTGGCCACTCACATCCAACTCCTTTGACTTCCCCAATGAAAAAATAGATTCCGCAATAGGCGTGGGTTGTTAGGGTCAGCCTCAAACCCTTCAAAATCCTTGTTGAGGACACATTCTGGCCACAGTTTTCTCCAGGCAGAGTTCAAAGTCCTGGAAGTCACTCCCTGCCAAGCCTTATCTACATACATATAAGACTTATGCAGTGGAGGATATTGAAGTGATTCCTCCAAAACTCTCTTATGGTCAGTTCAATGTCCAAGGTCACTTCAGAGCACCTTTGAAACATTGCTTTGGTGTACAGTTTTTTGAAGTTTGAAATGACCTGATGGTCCATGGGCTGGATGAGAGGAGTGGTATTAAGGGGGCAAGAAATTCACTGTGATGAACTTACACTCCTCAAACAATAGGTCTTCCAAGTCTGGAGGATGAACAGGAGGCACTTAAGTGGCAATTTATTTTCTAGGAGGTGTTTCTTCACACTCAGGCCAAACATTTCACTGGCCCACTCAATGAATATTAGCCTCATGACCCATGCTTTATTGTTAGCCTTCCACATCACACACAATTTACTCTTCATGGCATTGTTTTTCTTGAACACTCTTGGAATTTCAAAGTGATACACGAGTAAAGGCTTCAATTTGAAATCCCCAATAGCGTTACCACAGAACGAAAGATTTAGCCTATCCTTCATAGGCTTGTGTCCTGGCAGTGCCTTTTCCTCCTGCGTGATGTAGGTCCTTTCTGGCATTTTCTTCCAAAATGGGTCTGTTTCATCACAATTGATCACTTGTTGGGGGAGGAATCTTTCAGCCTCTACGTAACCCTTGAATTCATGCATGAATTCTGCAGCCGCACGTTTGTTTGAACTTGCAGTCTCACCATGCCTTACAACACTTTATATGCCACTACGCTTCTTGAATCTGTCGAACCGGCCTTTGCTGGCCTTAAATTCACTAACATCAGCACTCGTTTCCAGCATTTACTTTACGAGATCCACATACAGTTGCCTTGCCTTCTCACAAATTATCCCCTCCGAAACACTATCTCCCACTAATTATTTTTGGTTGATCCACACCAACAACAACTTCTCCACATCCTTGATAGTTTGAGACCTCTGTTTTGTTAGAATATTTATACCTTTTGCAACATGAGCTTCCTTGATTTCTGCTTTCTTCAACAGGATGGAACTGATTGTTGATGTAGATTTCCCATAAATCTTGGCCACTTCCACCAAACGTACACCACTTTCATATTTTGCCATAACTTCTTTCTTGAATTCTTTGTGTTTCTCACCTTTGGCCCTGTGGTGGCTAATTTCACAGTTGCAATCAATAAACAAGCACCAAAAAGAATGGACAAACGCACAGAGTATTCTTACCCCAATGAGAGAGACGCCCAGACTGAATGTGATACGTGTGAGGAAGCACATTGCTAGAGGGTGGACACGTCTCATGCCAATGATTTCCGAGCAGATGGCCCTTATCTGGGGGGGAATTTCGCCGAAAAAGTCCTCAATTTCCGAATTGGCCTATTTCCGCACCGACCTATATCCAGGGGTCCACTGTATTCTGCTTCATCCTCTCTAATTGCCCAAAGAACCTCAATAACCCCTTCTCAACACTGAATTATACCTTTGATAACCCCACACCATCTTCTAATGTCTGCATTCCAGAGTCTTTGTATAATGATCACTCCATTCATTGTTCTCAAACATGGCGTCTTCATTGCTTTTAGCCTTTACGTACTGTAAGGTATAAAGTCTATGCTCACACCCATATAAAGGTGTTGATACCACTATACTTTAGTACATCCTCTTTTTTGCCTCCATAGATACACCTCTTTCTTTCCACAAATTCCTCTACACACCAGCTACCTTTTTTTTTGTGTACCCTTGTCTATTTTATGGTTCACCTTGTCTTTCATAGACTCATCTGCTGATGTGTCCATATCTCAGTGTCTGAATACATTTACTTTCTCCATACTCCCTTCACTGTGTTATCCAAGCATTTGTTGCGTAGACTTTTTGTTACTCTCATCGCCTTGCTCCCAATTTTGTCTACTCACATTTTCAACTTTCCTTCAGAGTCTCTCAAATAGAACTGTGTTATTGGCATAGAGCAACTGTGACACCTACTTTGTATCAGATTCATAATCCTTTAATCTCACACCTCTCTCTGATACCCCTCACTTATAAATATGTTAAACAGTCATGGTGACATTACACTCATGATTTTGTCAGGAATGTAATCTGTTTTTCACCAGTCCGAGATTGCAGCATTATCAGGAGGAAGTGATGATGAGAAAAGTGAACCCAAGTACTCCAAAGAAGGACTGGAGGAGATGGTTGGAACTCAGTGTCGTTCACCATTCACTGAAAAATGGGGTGGACATTCTTATCACAATGCTATTGTTCTGAGTATTGTGACACAAGATGGTGAAGCTGACCTACATAAGCCACAGGTAGATATTTCATTATAAGTTGCATATACTAGACATCAATTTTGGTCATAGGAATTTATTGTGTAATATGGTTCATTTTAAAAGTTTGTTTTTACAGTGATTACTTAGGATATCATATTATTCTCTTGTTTTCTTAATTCCAATTTTTTCAGTTATCTTCCTTCCAGGTAAACTCCATTGTTTTACCAAATTTTGTGTTAATATTTACAGTATACTAGTACCATCCGACTTACGACAGAGCTGGGTTCCGACCAGCCAGTCATAAGTCAAAATGGATGCAAGTCAAACCTTAGAAAATTGCCGACATACTGGGTAGGGCATAATGTCAAACCTTTGCTATTTAAGTACCTACATAGTATCGTATGTTACTTTTAACTAAATATCTTACTACTGTATATTAACATGACAGTTATTGTAATGATTTTATTTTATTGTTTTATTTTTGTATTTAATTTTTTTACTTGACTTTTTATGCTTTTAGTGCAAGATTCAGACTTCCTCTTAGGGGCCATGGATAAGTTTACTGTCCAGGTACATATATACCGTACAGTGATGAAATTAAGACACATGTGCAACATCTGGGTATCTTTATTGTAGACGTTTCGCCATCCAGTGGCTTTATCAATACAAATTCTAGGACATAGCTTGAAGACAGTAGGACTATATACAGAAGATGAGGTAATCAGTCCCTCAACCTAGGAGTAGGTGCGAAGAGCACCATAGTCGTGGAGATTCTGAAGCAGAAGCAAGGAGCCTGGCGCTTATATAGTAACGTCAGGTGTAGCAGACGAGGGCATAGTCACTGGTAGGTGGGATTCCCCAGTGGAAGTAGGTCCTTCCCAAAGAGATGGGTTAGTTGTAGTAGTAGTTGTCGTAGTCGTGAAGGTTATGTACATGTCCTCAGAATCAAGATTCCATGAGGACATGTACATAACCTTCACGACTACGACAACTACTACTACAACTAACCCATCTCTTTGGGAAGGACCTACTTCCACTGGGGAATCCCGCCTACCAGTGACTATGCCCTCGTCTGCTACACCTGACGTTACTATATAAGCGCCAGGCTCCTTGCTTCTGCTTCAGAATCTCCACGACTATGGTGCACTTCGCACCTAATCCTAGGTTGAGGGACTGATTACCTCATCTTCTGTATATAGTCCTACTGTCTTCAAGCTATGTCCTAGAATTTGTATTGATAAAGCCACTGGATGGCGAAATGTCTACAATAAAGATACCCAGATGTTGCACATGTGTCTTAATTTCATCTTGTCAGTATTATATACCATTCTTGCACAACTTGTCAGACACTGCAACATCATGGAATCTTGATTCTGAGGACATGTACATAACCTTCACGACTACGACAACTACTACTACAACTAACCCATCTCTTTGGGAAGGACCTACTTCCACTGGGGAATCCCACCTACCAGTGACTATGCCGTCGTCTGCTACACCTGACGTTACTATATAAGCGCCAGGCTCCTTGCTTCTGCTTCAGAATCTCCACGACTATGGTGCTCTTCGCACCTACTCCTAGGTTGAGGGACTGATTACCTCATCTTCTGTATATAGTCCTACTGTCTTCAAGCTATGTCCTAGAATTTGTATTGATAAAGCCACTGGATGGCGAAACGTCTACAATAAAGATACCCAGATGTTGCACATGTGTCTTAATTTCATCTTGTCGGTATTATATACCATTCTTGCACATACCGTACAGTACAGTTAATACAATATGATGCTGCTGATAGGGCAGGGTAACTCAAAGTGATGCTGCCTGAGTGATGTGAGAACTCTCCCAAGATGGCACATTGCCACAAGTAGCAGTCAGCTGTCGTATGACAGTGTGCATCGACCCACCCAGCCCTGCTGCCAGTTATGGTCGTAAGTCAGAGTGGTCGTGTGTCGAGCAGATTGTAAGTCGGATGGTACTAGTACACATAGTTTTCTAAATTATGCACTGTACTGTATTTGTAGTTTAGATTCCGTACTGTGTCATTAAGTGTTAAGGAATTTATACTACTGTATTTTTACTTCATCTGTGAATGCATTGTTGGTTACAGGTACTCAGGGCATGTATGATTGATTCACAAACAGGTAGGCATATTGTGCCCTCAATTATTGTTATATAGTAAATCCTCACTTAACGTCATAGATAGGCTGTAAACAACGTATAACAAAACCAGTTTTACCATAGGCTAATTGTTGTAAACATCAGGGGTGTCACTGCACCTTTAGCACTCATTGCAACAGGGTTAAATCAAGGAATAAATGCTTGCAAAGCAAAAATTGCAAGGAGTACCTCATGCCACCAGACAGTTCAAAAACAAACATGCAAACTCCACACAGACAGTGGCCCCAGCCAGGAATTGATTTTTTTCTCATCAACGTTATAACAAAACGATGTTGAACAAAATGATGTTAAGAGAGGACTTACTGTACAGAGATTTCACTCATATATCTCTTGATTTCTTTGAATTATGCAGGCTTATTCAGATATCCATGATAGTCGACTTGTCCTTCACTTTATATGGTTGTTTTCTGGGCCCTAGGCAGTTGTACTATTCACAATAAGGTCATCAACATGTAATTCCACATAATAAGAATCTTCAGGTATACTTTGCAAACCCCAAAGATCATGTAGCAAATATATATTACACTTAAGGAACTACCGACAGAGACAGGACATTGCATAATAGTGAATTCTCATAAGCATAACTTGCAGAAAGCAAGAGAAACCTATACTACTAATATGAATAGGAGCTGGTTCTGTGCGTGTGCCAGGAGAAGCTAAAAATAATTTGAGAAATTTTAATTTCTTGACTCTGCTTGCTGGTGATACCATCTCTGAAGTAAGTAGAGCATAATATGAGTTGAAATGTAAGTTATGTAATTTATTGCAGTACAGTACATTGCTTTACTAAAGAAAAAGACATGAAATCAGCCAGAGGACTAATGTCAATAAAGGAGGTGCAGTTCAGACCTCAGGACTGTGATTATTTTAAGTGTCCATAGATTGAAGAGAGCAAGCGCATCGTGTTTCCTCATCAAAATTGGTCATCAAAGAAAATGCAAAAGACACTGATGGGCACTTGCACACTAAAGAAATTTTCTCTTCTTAATCCAACTTGGCAGATTGATTTGAATGAAAAACTTGGGCAAATTACTTCATGTTTTGGTGCCATTGAATCTCAACCAACATGGTGAGTGTTAATTGTCTGCAATTTTAAAGTGATAGTTTTTTTTTAATTATTAACATATCGGCCATTTCCCACTAAGGCAGGGTGGCCTGAAAAAGAAAAACTTTCATCATCATTCACTCCATCACTGTCTTGCCAGAAGCACGCTTACACTACAGTTATAAAACTGCAACATTAACACCCCTCCTTTAGAGTGATATTATGTAACATTTTATGTTATCATTAATTTAGGCATAGGAAAAGGTAGAATGTGATTGGGAGAGGGGGTTGGAGTCCCCGAGGAATCTTTCCCAAATGAAATTCGTTTTACGTCTAGGAAGGTTGTGTAAAAATTGCCCAGCATCTGCTGCATTTCCCAGCTTGTCTTAAATTTATGCCCAAAAATATTTATAGAGTATAAGTTTTTATCACTTAGTAAATTAATTACTAAATTCTAGGTTCGAGTCTTGTTTAGTCAGCCAACGTGTTTGGAAATGCTACCATGCCGGTTCTTCTTGTCTGGCCGGTGCAAGTATTCTGATGATGAATGCCGCTTCTCTCATGGAAAAATTGTCTCCATTTCTGATATTAAGGAACACAGGTCTGTTTATGGATTTTATCTTTCTGTGTAATTACTGTACTTATTTGTACTGTAGTTATATGAGCAGAGCTATGCTCGTGGTATCCTGTCTTTGATATTTTGGTTGTCATTGTGTTTTAATTTGCAGTGGTTGTAGTACATACTGTCTCATTTTGAGTCCTATTCCAGCAGTCTACCCCTCTATTGTAAAAGAAGTTTTTTCTCATGTTTTTCAGCACTGCCTTTCTTACTTTATAGATGTTGGTTCTTGTTTATTCTAATACAAGGACACATAGAGCAGAGCAAGCCTTTGTTAATACATTGCTTAGCTGAATGAGGGCTTTATCCAGGATGACTTAATAAAACTTTCCTTGAACTTACTCTACTCTAAGTGTCTTTGTGTTGCCCATATTTGTTGGCACTTTGCCTTTCAACCATCTTGTTCTTCCTGTTGGTGGTTCTAAAATATCTAATGTATCTGTTATCTCATATTTTATAAGGTCTTATGTGGTTATCAAATCTCTTCTGTCTGCCAAGAAGAGCATTTCCAGTATTCTCAATCTTTCATTGTAATTCATGTTGCTTAACTTTAGGATCTGTTTTATTGTATGTAGTTGGACTTTCTAATATATCTATTATTTTATATTAAAAACCACCACTATGTCTGCAGATTATAAATTTGATCCAACATTTTTTTTAGTATTTCACTATTGAACTACAGTAGATGTTCTCTTAAGCTTGCAATTATTAGCTGAAAATGGCTGGATAAGAGAACAGGTACCTCTAACAGCAGGACTATGAGAGGGGATTTTCTTTTTTTGTGCTAGTTTGTACTGTCTCAGTTTATTAATTGTATGTGCTTGCACATATGCTAAATAATTTTCTATCTGTACAAGTTTATCGAAGTCTGCAAGTCATGTGTTGTGAACTTCGTAGTACTATACTGTATTTCCTAAATTTGCTAAAGCAGGGGCTCCCTCTTGGCTACTGCATCTGTCTTCATGGCAGAAATTTATGTTATGTTTACTGTGCTCAAAAAAATCTTGAAATTGCATGCTTTGTCCTCTGTAATGTATTCTGGATCATTTTAAAATGTGTTGCAGATATTAGAATCCTAAACTCTGCCAGTCTCCTGCTGCAAATAATCTAATGATATTATTACTAATTACTGCTAGGCATAATTTTGCTATTTGTTGCTGGTTCTCTGAACACATTGGTATCCATTAAAATGCATATGCTGGTACAGTTGCAAAAAATGCTTCCTTGTAGGACACACTGTGATTACAAGCTTTTGCTTCATTCATCTATCATCTTAAGATGATGGGAAACGTGCTTGGATGCATTAGACCAAGTGCTAGTCAGTGGAAGTGCTCAGGTTCACAGTCCCATTACTGTGAAATCATTTTGGGCATATGCCCTCGACTTGTGTATATTTCCTGATTGGAGCAGATTAACTCATGAACTTTCCATGCATAATTTTCCTATTTAGTACCAAGTCTCTTTTCAACTTCTTGGTTCTCTCCACTGACATATACCATACTCTGATTCAGTTATATTCTCAGTCCATTCCTTGTACATGCTACCTCTTCCACTCTTGTCTTGCAGTACGCTGCAGTGATTTTTCTCTCATTCAGAATAAGGCATGCAGTGATGTGTTCGAATTTGAGAAATGCAGATAAGAAGAATATTGACTAGAGGAATTTTCGTAAATAATTTTGGAAGCATTCTTTCTCGTTTAGAAAAGGTTCCCATTACACAGATAACCCACATTAGGAGAGGGAAACACGATGACATTTTGGTCTGACTTGGCCCAAAATATCATGACTTGTCATGGGTCCAAGTCGGACCAAAATGTCATCATAAGTTTCCCTCTCCTAAGTGTTGGTTATTTGCGTATTGTTCCAGCCATGGTAGTACATGTATAACTTTTTATTCTTTGCGGTCCCTATTTTTTTTTTTTCAGAATCTGAAATGAAATTCAAGTTTTTACTTTTATCTTGAAAAATTTGGATTTCAGATCATTTTGAATTCGACATTTTGAAAAACATTCTTTCATTCTGAAAATGTGCAGTTTTTTCCTTCAAAATGTGAATTGCAATTCAGAATTACCGCTATAATTTGGAAACCTAATAATTTTGGAGCAAATATCTAATTCAAAATTTTAAATTAGAAAATTGAAGATCTGAATACAGTGGGTGAAATGTTTACAACTAATCCACAACTTGGTGAGAAAACTTTCAATAATATTTTGGTCTCTCTTGGACTTAATGACAGTTTATGATGGAACAAAAAGTGATCTAAAAGTTCTCCTCTAAATTGTGGGTTATTTATGAATATAAGAACAACCTGAGGATGCATTTTCTAGTTTAGAATTTGGAATAATTCCAGTTAAGTAAATTATTCAAAATGAATGTGTTATTGTAACATTAATTTCATTTAGACATTTGCTGTACTTCTCATATCTTCATACTGTATGTATATTACTACTACAGTTAAATATGTTATGTCTTTGTCTATTGGTGAATTTAGTATAGCAATTCTGTATCTTACAGAGAACCTGAATACGACACCATAGTAACTGGAAGCCGGGTTTTGGTCCAATATAATAATGATCTATGGACAAGTGCTACAGTAGAGGATGTACTTGAAGATAGATCAGCCTTCTGTGTGAAATACGACAAAAACAAAGAAATAGCAGAAGTGCAGCTGTCACAGATGGTTCCTCTACAGTGTGACAATGATGGAGAGGAGCAGAGAGAAGAGGTCGGTACTGAAATTTGGATTATTTACATTTCTTAGGGAGGATGCATTCTACAATACTGTAATATCAGTGGCAGCTCCAGAATTTCTATATAAAAGGGGAAGTCTGGTTGGAAGGAAGGCTTGGAGAATTGTCCTTTAGCTGCTTCTGTTATTATTATTATTATTTTTTAATACACTGACCATCTCCCATCGAGACAGGGTGACCCCACAAAAAAATGCTTTCATAAAGTTTTTCTTCTTTATACATTTTAGTTGCCTCTTACAATATGCATGGCTTATAGAGGAAGGATTCTTCTCTCCCTCTCCATTGAGATTCTTCTTTCTTTCTTTCAACAAACCAACCATATCCCACCAAGGCAGGGTGGCCCAGAAGGAAAAATGAAAGTTTGTTCTTTTAAATTTAGTAATATATACAGGAGAAGGGGTAACTAGCCCCTTGCTCCTGGCATTTTATTCACCTCTTATGACATGCATGGCTTGTGGAGGAAGAATTCTGTTCCATTTTTCCATGGAGATAAGTGGAAATAAACAAGAGCTATTAGGAAAATAGAAGAAAACCCAGAGGGGTATGTATGTATATATATGCTTGTACATGCATGTGCAGTATGATCTAAGTGTCAGTAGAAGTAGCAACACGTACCTGAAATCTTGCATGTTTATGAGACAGAAAAAAAGGCACCAGCAATCCTACCGTCATGTAAAACAATTATTGGTTTCTGTTTCACACTCACCTGGCAGGAGGGTAGTTCCTCCCTGGGTAGTTGCTGTCTACAACCTACTACCTAGACTCATGGAGATTATTATTATTATTATTATTTTTTCTTTTAATGTGCTGGTTGTCTCCTGCCAAGGCAGGGTGACCCAAAAAAGAAATGCTTTCAACATCATTCACACTATTGCTGTCTTGCCAGAGGCACACAGATATGACAGTTCAGATGCCACTCCAAATAGCAAATATCCCAAACCCCTCCTCTGGAATTTATGCACTGTACTTCCCACCACCAAGACTCAAGTCTGGCTAACTAGTTTTCCTGAATCCCTTCCCAAAATATTACCCTGCTCACACTCCAACAGCTTGTCAAGTCCTAAAAGCCATTCATCTCCACTCACTCCTATTAACATGCTCACACATACCTGCTGTATGTCCAAGCCCCTTGCTCACAAAACCTCTTTTACCCCCTCCCTCCATCCTTTCCTAGGACAACCCCTACCCCTCCTTCCCTCCACTACAGATTTATACACCCTCTGTTATATACAGTGGTACCGCGGGATACGAACAGCCCAAAACGCGAACAGTTATGTAAGTGTATACTATATGTAAGTGCTTTTGTAAGTGTATTTTGAGGGTCTGAAATGGATTAATCTAATTACATTATTCCTTATGGGAGCAAATTTGTTCGGTATCAGCACTCGAACAGCCTTCTGGAGTGAAATAAGGTCGTGTCCCGAGGTAACACTGTATTTATTTATTTTCACTTAGTCACCTAACTCATCTGTCAAAATTATACTTCACGTGAGTAGATGTGAGTAAAGTATGATGATTACAGATCTGTTATCAATCTTTACACTTCCTTTGCAGTATATTCGGTCACCTTTTCAAATAGTTATTATGGTTTTATGATATATTGGATATAATGTCCGACTGGTAATTAATTCGTATTTGCATTCATAAAATTACTTTTATATAGATACACAGACAGTACCGGCAGTTAATTTTGTCAGCCAGTCATCATCATCATTATAAGCTGTTTTAATTCATTCATGAAAAAAATCATTACTCTGTTTATTACGTCTGAGTTGCCTGATATTATTTCTGCCAAGGAGTGAGTACAGGCATTTTTTTCTGCAACTGTACATACAGAGCTTTCCACATGTTGTTAACCTATATAAGTTTAATTGTGTAAATTCCATTCACTGTATTTATACCATTATGTGTGATCTTTGATTATTTTTATAATAATCTGTTGTTATGATTTAAATGGCATTACTTTGTTGTACAGTATACAGCAATAAAGCTTTTGTTAAATGGTGAGCTTATTAACAAACTTACTGACTTACTGACTGAGCCACATTTGTTATTTCTCTCTTTTTTTTATTTTTTGTAGAGACCTACCTTTGATGAAGCTAGTGACCCTGATAGCAGTGAGGATGAAAGAGCAATCTTCGTTCCAACTGCAAGTTGGTTTCAGCACACACTATCACAACGTCTCGGTGACTGGGAAAAGCATACCAAGGTTATAATTCCCATTTGAATTTTTTTTTTTTTGTGTTTTGCACTTTTATAAAGTTTGTTGTATTTCTGGTTAGAGCAATATTTATGCTTGAATTAGCATTGAAAAAGTTTATATATTTTGCAGTTACTTTATTTCCATGATTTATCTTAAAAAAATTACTTTCTACATTGTAAAATTATGAATGTCATGTAGTAATCATATGCCAGAATAATATATGAGTATTTTACTATGACATATATGTTGTTTAATATTGGTAATTTGTTGTTTCTGTAATTCACTTAATTTATATTCTTCATGTAGCCTTTTTTTTTTCCTCACATTTCTATTATATGGCACATATCTATGTTAAATTCCTCCATGCATTTGAGAGTTTGTTTGCTCAGTTTATCTAATTTCTTTTGTAGGACTTTATAGTCATCTTGAATTCTTATTCTGCAAAGGATTTTGTTTTTTTGCATCATCTGCCAATATTATTCATGTAGTTTACTTTATTGCACCACATATACATGCAAGTATGTGTGACTACAGCTTCAAATTCTTTTCTTAGGGCATTGGATCAAAGCTGATGGAGAAGATGGGATATGTGGTTGGCACCGGCCTTGGCCCACAAGGAGATGGCCGAGTGGAACCTGTGACTGCCTATGTTTACCCACAAGGAGTGTCACTGGGTAGGTCACTCAGTTATACCTCTCTAGATAGATGTTAGACAAAGTTACAGATATTGTACACTTGTCATTAGTTATGAGTAATTATCACAAAACATAATGAGTCTGTATTTGGATTCCCAATCTAAAGGATGGGTGGGAATGTTGGATTGTGATGTCTGCTCATTTCTGGCAAGATAACTTTGTTTGATTGATGTTGAATCTGTTTCCTTATTTGGACCAAGCTACCTTGGAGGAAAAGATCCCTTGTATTAAAAAAAAAGTGACTGCAAACACAGATATGTTGTTATCAGTGAGTTGTAATTTGAGGGAGAAGGAATCCTTTGTAGTGTCAGGGTTATGTAAACATGGAATGCCACACTTTTTACATACCAAACATCATTTTTAACTTTGTTTTGCTGCCAGTGTGTTTACTAATATTTAACTCATATCCTTAGATGGTAAGAATAAATATGGAAATCAACATAAGAAAAGTTAGAGATAGATTCTTATGGTTTGGGATATGTCCACTAGGGAGCATTTAAAAAAATACAAATTTTAGAGATGCAAGCTGCACTTTTCAGGCATTATTTGTATGATCACAACAAACTTCTGTGAAAAATTTCAGACCATTTCATGCCCATTTACCCTGCAGCATTGCGATCGACTTTTCTTCAAATTATACACCATTGAAAGCAATTAGTTATAATTTATTGGTTGCCAGGTTAATTATCAAGTGTATATGGCTTATATAATTTTTGATTGTGAAGATTGTATAATCAAATGTACATGGGCTATATCAATCATCATCATTATTATTATTATTATTATTATTATTATTATTTGGAGTGAGTTAAACAAGTTAAGAAAGCCTAGGGAAAGTATGGATTTGTCAGTTAAAAACAGAGTAGGGGAGTTAGTAGATGGGGAGAGGGAGGTATTAGGTAGATGGCGAGAATATTTTGAGGAACTTTTAAATGTTGAGGAAGAAAGGGAGGCAGTAATTTCATGCACTGGCCAGGGAGGTATACCATCTTTTAGGAGTGAAGAAGAGCAGAATGTAAGTGTGGTGGAGGTATGTGAGGCATTACGTAGAATGAAAGGGGGTAAAGCAGCTGGAACTGATGGGATCATGACAGAAATGTTAAAAGCAGGGGGGGATATAGTGTTGGAGTGGTTGGTACTTTTTTTTAATAAAAGTATGAAAGAGGGGAAGGTACCTAGGGATTGGCGGAGAGCATGTATAGTCCCTTTATATAAAGGGAAAGAGGACAAAAGAGATTGTAAAAATTATAGAGGAATAAGTTTACTGAGTATACCAGGAAAAGTATACTGTAGGGTTATAATTGAAAGAATTAGAGGTAAGACAGAATGTAGGATTGCGGGTGAGCAGGGAGGCTTTCGAGTGGGTAGGGGATGTGTAGATCAAGTGTTTACATTGAAGCATATATGTGAACAGTATTTAGATAAAGGTAGGGAAGTTTTTATTGCATTTATGGATTTAGAAAAGGCATATGATAGAGTGGATAGAGGAGCAATGTGGCAGATGTTGCAAGTATATGGAATAGGTGGTAAGTTACTAAATGCTGTTAAGAGTTTTTATGAGGATAGTGAGGCTCAGGTTAGGGTGTGTAGAAGAGAGGGAGAATACTTCCTGGTAAAAGTAGGTCTTAGACAGGGATGTGTAATGTCACCATGGTTGTTTAATATATTTATAGATGGGGTTGTAAAAGAAGTAAATGCCTGGGTGTTCAGTAGAGGGGTGGGATTAAATTATGGGGAATCAAATTCAAAATGGGAATTGACACAGTTACTTTTTGCTGATGATACTGTGCTTATGGGAGATTCTAAAGAAAAATTGCAAAGGTTAGTGGATGAGTTTGGGAATGTGTGTAAAGGTAGAAAGTTGAAAGTGAACATAGAAAAGAGTAAGGTGATGAGGGTATCAAATGATTTAGATAAAGAAAAATTGGATATCAAATTGGGGAGGAGGAGTATGGAAGAAGTGAATGTTTTCAGATACTTGGGAGTTGACGTGTCGGCAGATGGATTTATGAAGGATGAGGTTAATCATAGAATTGATGAGGGAAAAAAGGTGAGTGGTACATTGAGGTATATGTGGAGTCAAAAAACATTATCTATGGAGGCAAAGAAGGGAATGTATGAAAGTATAGTAGTATCAACACTCTTATATGGATGTGAAGCTTGGGTGGTAAATGCAGCAGCGAGGAGACGGTTGGAGGCAGTGGAGATGTCCTGTCTAAGGGCAATGTGTGGTGTAAATATTATGCAGAAAATTCAGAGTGTGGAAATTAGGAGAAGGTGTGGAGTTAATAAAAGCATTAGTCAGAGGGCAGAAGAGGGGTTGTTGAGGTGGTTTGGTCATTTAAAGAGAATGGATCAAAGTAGAATGACATGGAAAGCATATAAATCTATAGGGGAAGGAAGGAGGGGTAGGGGCCATCCTCGAAAGGGTTGGAGAGAGGGGGGTAAAGGAGGTTTTGTGGGCGAGGGGCTTGGACTTCCAGCAAGCGTGCGTGAGCGTGTTAGATAGGAGTGAATGGAGATGAATGATACTTGGGACCTGACGATCTGTTGGAGTGTGAGCAGGGTAATATTTAGTGAAGGGATTCAGGGAAACCGGTTATTTTCATATAGTCGGACTTGAGTCCTGGAAATGGAAAGTACAATGCCTGCACTTTAAAGGAGGGGTTTGGGATATTGGCAGTTTGGAGGGGTATGTTGTGTATATTTATACATATATGCTTCTAAACTGTTGTATTCTGAGCACCTCTGCAAAAACAGTGATAATGTGTGAGTGTGGTGAAAGTGTTGAATGATGATGAAAGTATTTTCTTTTTGGGGATTTTCTTTCTTTTTTTTGGCTCACCCTGCCTCGGTGGGAGACGGCCGACTTGTTGAAAAAAAAAAATATTATTATAATCAAAAAGAAGCACTAAGCCACAAGGGCTATACAGCTATATATATCAATCATTAACTATTTAATTTTAAACTATTACTAGTTATAAGTGAAGTCTTTCTTGGTGTGGAACTTAGGTATTACTTTCCTGGAAAATATTCTTTGCCTGATATATCCATCTCTTGCCTTCTGTCCAGTCACTTCATTGCAAGCTTCAGTCATCAATTTTATCCCTCTCTCAACAGCCTGAGTGTTGTTTGGCCACTTGGGCACCTCCAGTGGAGTCTCAGTAATTTTCAGAACCTGTTGATCTGATAGAGAGACAATGAAAGGAGGCTTAGTTTTGAGTTCAATCTTTGAGTCATTCATAGAATGATAGTTCTTTGCTTGCCACTTTAGTTTGGGAATCACTACTTTCGTTGAGTTGACAGTAGGAGCCACATTGTCATTCTCTTCATCTTCACTGTCATCCTCTTCATCAGTGTAGATTAACAAGTCCTCATGAACAGCATCAGCAGCATCTTCTCCATCCTCATCAGAGCTCTCAGTATTTTCTTTTGTCTGCTGATTCTGTTCTCTAATTTTACTTATCATTGAGACATCTATGACTCACACAGTCATGTCTTCATCAGTGCACATACCAAGAAGCAGCTGATTTGTGTGGGCCAAGTAGGAATTTCTTTGGACAGTCTTCTTTACTATCTTTCCTTCACTGTTCAGATGCCTTATAAATTGCAGTGACTGGAAGATGTTCTTTGGACTGTGTGTGACATAAGGGTGCAACTTAATGTGGAACCACATTGGAGCACTGAACTTTAAAATCATAATGATGGCTCTTTTCAGCTCCTGACTGGGTCTTGATGTTGCCACAGCCTATGGATCTTACTCCATAAAGTATTCCACCTTGACACACACAGTGGACCTAGTTCAAGAGCAGCCAAGTCATCATCAGCCACACCTGTGATCACTCCTTTGCAAATCCTATACAAGTATTTCTGGTCCCAGGTCAGATCCTCTGCCAGCCACCTTGTCATTCAGAGCAGGGAAATCAGTGAAATTGACTGGCTGGAAAGCAACAACTGGCAGCTCAGAGGATCCTTGATTTGCTTGCCAATGGGACCTCTCCAATGATCAGGACTACTTGGCTTACCATCATAGTGGTAGAAAACAGCCCGGAATGGCAGCTCATTTCCATGAAGCCGACAGATGAAAGAATGGACCGGATGACCAAGCAACATTTCAAGATGATGAATATCTCTATTGTCAGCTCCGACATTTATGTTGGTTCCTTCGCAACCAACACATGCAACAGGTTGCTGAGTTAGTTTCTGTTCCACCAGAAATGTATAGATAGTCTTGGCAATCTTCTTTCCATGGCCTGACTTGGGAGTCACATAAGTGAGATATTTAGTGCTGGGCTCCACCATGATGACATAATAATCTTTCACCACTATCTTTGGACTCCTTTTCTTAATCTTCTCATTCTTTGTCATTACACAAGTGGAGGTCTTCTCACCATCAAAATACAGTGATGTGATATTTTCCAAGTTTGCTAGCTCATTTTCTTGCCTCTCCATTGGGTATTTGTGTCTGGCATCTTGTAACTTCTGTGGCCCAATAACTTGACTTTTGTTGCCCTTGGTGATAATGCCATAGACCATTAAGGTGGCTGTAGCAATGGCAGCTCCAGCATAATTACTGATCAAGTATCAGTCACATGTGGCTTCCAGTGTGGGGAGTGTTGTTCTGTTCTGCTGTGAGCTACTGGCAGTCAGACCACTCAAGACACAGTCAGCATCAGTATCGCATCATTTGAATTATCGTCAGAATCAGAAACTTCTCCAGCTGCCGGTTCACTCTGTCTTTCCTCCAGCTGCTTCCTGGCTCTGGCTGCATCCTGCTCCTCTTTTACCGTCACTCTATCCCACATCCTCGTTACTGTCATGTCAACACAGCCAATTTTCATCTTCCTATCAACTCAGGTCAAGGAGGAACTGTACCTCACGTTTAGGAACTTTCACATCACAATTACAGGCCAGTTGGTATCCGTCACACTCCTTTATTTTGCACCCTACATCTTGACAGGAGGCAGAAGGACAGAAACAACTACATATATCAAACAACTCATTCATTTCTTTCTGAAATGTAGCTTTTTTGGAGACATTTTTGTTCCTCTTAAGTTCTATTTCTCTACTGTACAATCTTCTCAATCTTTCCTTAGTATTTTTCTGGCTGAGAATAGGAATAGTCTTTCTGTTTCCAATTGATTTCTCCCATAGTTCAGAGCAATCCTTAGCTGCTATCTTGATAATCACTGAAACATCAGTAAACTTTCCTTCATCACATTTATATCGCCTTTGGACGAAAGTGTGTTCATTGAAAGAACACTGGCATGGCCAAGCAGTGCATGTTGCGTGGCTTTCCTCATTGACATTGTAGCCATCTGAGTAGTAAAGTATATAAGTAATCAGAGTATCTGAAAAGAAAGTTAGTTAATGTTTATAAATATTGCAGAGTACATAGATACAGCATCTAAAACACTGTGCTATGCTACTCAGTAATACAGACATATTCCAAAATTTCAATCACAGATGCTGTAGGCTAAATCTCAGCCAATCAACTTCATATTTGGCACTGAATCTAAGATACATCAGGAACAGTGCCTGAAGAGTGCAGCTTTGACCAAAATTTCAGTGCTCCCTAATGTCCATAAACTTGGGTTTAATAAAATCACTAAGCCTGGCAGTCACATAGACTTACTGGTTTCAAAATAACCTTTCAAAGTAAATCAAAATTTCCTTTGCTTTTGGTTAATTTAAGTATAAATTTGGTTAGGAGTACCTCTCAAGGGAGTGCCTTGATGCTGATGAGGGGGTTCTTGATCCAATGAATTGGGTCTATCCTCACCTTCCTTGGATTGAACCTGATTGTCTTCCATTCCTTGGGTGTTGCATGACCCTAGTGAGTTTAGTCCCTCCCCTAGATAATTATAATGACACAGGTTATAGTAATATTTCAAGAGTTTAGCTTGATTGACACCATTTATTCATGTTAATTGCTGTAAAGTTGCTCATAACTAAAAATAATTTTTTTTAATAAGGTGGATTAAGAAGCTCAACTCATTTCTTAAGAGAAATGAGTTGAGCTTCTTAAAGGCATCATTGCACAGTTCATGGAGCACATAGTCCTAATTCTTACTGTTGTTTTCCTATGAGAATAACTTGTCTAGCCTGTCATGTATAAATACATTATATATATCATCCTCATTTCAAGCATGACTAACTGTTACTGTACCTAATTGTACAAAATGGTCAGATAATTATTTAAAATTTTGTATATAATTCTTTTTTTAAATTAATACAGATCGTTGCATGGAACTTCGAGAAGCATCAAATGGAGAGGAGTTGTTAGACGTCGAGAAGCGACTTGACAGAGAACGAAGAAAGGAAGAAGCCAAATCAGCTCAAACTGCAGAAAGACTCAGAAAGAGAACATCAGTGTTTGATATCATTAATAAAAAATTGGGAGGGAAAGGTACATATCTTGTCATTTTACCTTAAAATACTTTATCTGATGATTTCCTTCTTGTGATCTACATGTAAATTGTCCTCATTTTTTCCAGTTCAATACCCATTATGGTAGTATGTTAGCCTAATCATATTTAAGCAAAGTTGAATAAACCTTATCTATTCTAACAGTATATTAGAATAACTAATATACTAGTTATTTTTATAAAAAATTGTCTTATTTAATCATATTTAAAAACTACTGAAACAAATCTTATCTGATTATTTCATGTTCAAAATAAACAATAATTTGAGGGAATAAAAGTATACCTCTATCCCTTTCCCTATGACAGACTAAGGGATATGTAACAATCAGATTTTTGGCCCTAGTCAACATTTGGCTGGTAACATACAGTCCCAGGAGTTCTTATTAAATTTTAGATGATTCGCTGTGTGCTGTGCAGTTCTACAGCAGGATAGCTATGTTATGTATCACAGAAATGAAATTATAATTACTTATGCCACCTCTGATCATTGTTTTTACATCACTGTATTTATGTTTTTTTTCTATTTTGGTATGTTAATGTGGTTATGATAATTCAGTGCAGCATTTATATGTTCATACATCATTAATTTCAGATCAGACTGCAGAAGATAGCGATGATGAATCAAATTCAAAGCCACTCATGAATGTCAGTAAGGCTGCACTGCAAAAAGATTCAACCAAAGATCTCAACATGAAGAATTATCAGCTCAGTGAAAATATTCGTCAACTTCGGAAAGAGGTGGAAAGAATGGAATGTTCAAGAGAGAGACAGAGTGGTAATAAGGCTGCTCTATCAGTAATCAACAGTAAGATAGAGAATAAAAAGAGTGAGATACAAAGATTGCAAGAAGCTGAAAAGAAAGTTCAGGGAGAACAGCAAAGTAGAAAAGATAAGAAAAAATTTTGTGTGTTTTAATACTTCTTCAAGAACTCACCATTCATCTCATAAATATATCATTTCACTCAAGTTAATTGTTAAGTATTCTTTAATATAAATAGGGTTAAGAGTGTATCATAGTTATTTGTGGTAAGATTTAGTGCACAAATGAATATAATAGTAGTTCAGTGCAGAAATAGCAGTAGTTTGATTAATGTAGTGTTGTCATTAAAATATCCCCATTATGCCAGAAACAGTTGTGAAAGTTTGACTTGTATGCTACAGATTTGAAGTATATTACACCTAATACATTATTGTATTGTAACTCATGAGATTCATTACAATTCTGACAGTAAAACTGTATATTAAAACTCTTTGTTTATTTTAAACATATTGAGAATTTGAGTCTTAACCCTTTCAGGGTCCAAGGCCCAAATCTGGAGTCACGCACCAGTGTCCAAGAATTTAAAAAAAAAAAATTTGTTATTTTTTCTTATGAAATCGTAGAGAATCTTTTTGTGAAGGTAATAAAACAAAAAGTACGAAATTTGTTGGAAAATTGACGAAATTATGCTCTCGCGAATTTTGATGTGTCAGCGATATTTACGAATCGGCGATTTTGCCGACTTTGACTCCCATTTTAGGCCAATTACATTATTCCAAACAACCAAATTCTTAGCTATTTCACTAGTATTACTTCTATTCTATCGATTGAGCACAAGAAATCGCCAAGTCAACTGTTTCAACTACAAAATAAAGTGATCGGAAATTGTTAATTTGGCCAATTTAACACAAAGTTCAAAATATTCCAATTTCAAAATAGGGTCCAGAATGAACAATGTAGGCATTCCTTGCACTAAACTAACATTTCCTCTGTTCATTAGTTATGTTTTGAGGCTTTACAAATAAATTCCATTTTGATTTTTTATTCACATAATGAATTTTTATTCACACCAAAAAATAGAAGATTTACTGTTATGCAATACTGTAATAATTGTATAAATATCATCACCATATTTGTGAATGTATATTAGACCCACCAGCTGATGTGTATTAGACGTGTGAGGTCGTTTGTTTACTCTTGAATATCGGCAAAAATTTAACATTTCCGCTACTTTGAGCTCAGTTTCAAGCCATTTCCAAAGCTAAAACCAATCAAAATCATCTCTATTTCTGTAATATGTCTTCATTCTATCAAATGAGACCAAGAAATCGCAATACAACTATAAAAAACATACGAAAAAACACTGCAAAGTTGCTGTTTTAATCGAAAAATCATGATTTCATTTTTTTTCTCTCATTATACACAGTGCGCTGCAGGATCTGTTTTATGTGGTGCACACATACCACATAGATGTATTCTCTCATATCTAGGCCCAAATGTACCACTCACAGTTTATCAGAGTGAGCTGAGCTCATGGCGTAGATCTACGGTTTGGACCCTGAACGTAAAGCCGTAGATCTACGGGACGGACCCTGAAAGGGTTAAAATGGCATTAAAAAAAAAAGAAATGGGCTATACATTACATTATTGGTATAGTCAAATCCTTATGACTCATCATTCTATCATTTCTAATTGAATTTCTTCTGTTTCTTTAAGAGATGCTCATCTTCTCCTAACAAAAAAAAAATTGGTACATGTATATGCAAAGCTCAGCAGTTAGGGATTATTGCACTGCTTTATATTTGATGTGGGAGCACATCTTTAATGCCACATCTGGCTTACTGGTAATCTATACTTCTATGTAGACACTTGCAAGAGACTATTCTCTCATGACTGCCCATCAGACATTATTATTTTTATTTAGAATATTTGTATGACTTATAGGTAGTAGGTTGGTAGACAGCAACCGCCCAGGGAGGTACTACCGTCCTGGCAAGTGAGTGTAAAATGAAAGCCTGTAATTGTTTTACATGATGGTAGGATTGCTGGTGTCCTTTTTTCCTGTCTCATGAACATGCAAGATTTCAGGTATGTCTTGCTACTTCTACTTAAACTTAGGTCACACTACACATACATGTACAAGCACATATGTACACACCCTTCTGGGTTTTCTTCTATTTTCTTTCTAGTTCTTATTCTTGTTTATTTCCTTATATCTCCATGGGGAAGTGGAACAGAATTCTTCTTCCGTAAGCAATGCGTGTTGTAAGAGGCGACTAAAATGCCGGGAGCAAGGGGCTAGTAACCTCTTCTCCTGTATGTATTACTAAATGTAAAAGGAGAAAATTTCGTTTTTCCTTTTGGGCCACCCCGCCTCGGTGGGATGCGGCCGGTGTGTTGAAAGAAAGAAAGATTTGTATGACTATGAGAAAGTGAAGTAGTTTTCATAAACACACTGAATATTGTTATTATAATCATAGTCATGGGCCTTGAATGTTGCTGGGAGGAGGAGGCTAGAGGTAGTGGAGATGTTATGTTTCAAGACAGTGTGTTGTGTGAATTTTATGCAGAAAATTCAGAATGTAGCAATTGGAAAATGGTGTTGGGTCAAAACTTGTATAATTCAGATGAGGGATTGTTGAGGCGCTTTGGGCATTTAGAGAGGGTGGAGCAGAATAGAATGACTTAGAGGGTGTACCAGTTGCAGGTGGGAGGAAGGAGTGGTAAGGGTTGTCCCAGAAAGGGTAAAGGTTTTGAGTACTTGGGGCTTGAGCATCCAGTAGGCTTATGTAAGCACATTAGATAAGAGTGAGTAAAGAGAAGTTAACAAGGTGTAGAAGTTAGCATGGTGGATATGGATATAATAGGCAAGAGTCACATTTGGTGTAATAAGTCAAGTTTGAGTTAAGAATTCGTCGACTTCTCTCAAACTGGCCATATCCCACTGAGGCAGGGTGACCTACAAAGAAAAAGGAAAGTTTCTCTTTTTTAAATTTAGTAATGTATATGGGAGAAAGGGTTACTAGCCCCTCACTCCCAGCATTTTAGTCGCCTCTTACGACACACATGGCTTACAGAGGAAGAATTCTTTTCCACCTCCTCATTGTTTTTAACACACCAGCCATCTCCCACCGAAGTAGAGTGACTTTAAAAAGAAGAAACAAAAGTTTTCCTTCTTTTTACATTTAGTAATTTACATGAGAGGGAGTTTATCATTATTATTATTATTATTATTATTATTATTATTATTATTATTATTATTATTATTATTATTATTATTATTATTATCATATGGGTAGTAGGTTGGTAGACAGCAACCACCCAGGGAGGAACTACCGTCCTGCCAAGTGAATGTAAAACAAAAGCCTGTAATTATTTTACATGATGGTAGGATTACTGGTGTCTTTTGTCTGTCTCATAAATATGCAAGATTACAGGTATGTCTTGCTACTTCTACTTACACTTAGGTCACACTACACATACATGTATACGTTTATTTATACACACTCATCTGAGTTTTCTTTGATTTTATCTTAATAGTTCTTGATCTTATTACTTTTCCTTTTATATCCATGGGGAAGTGGAATAAGAATCTTTCCTCCGTAAGCCATGCGTGTTGTAAAAGTCAACTAAAATGCCGGGAACAATGGGCTAGTAGCCCCTTTTCCTGTAAAGATTACTAAAAAGAATAAGAAGAAGAAAATTGTCGAGGGAAAAAAGGCGAGTGGTGCATTGAGGTATATGTGGAGTCAAAAAACGTTATCTATGGAGGCAAAGAAGGGAATGTATGAAAGTATAGTAGTACCAACACTCTTATATGGGTGTGAAGCTTGGGTGGTAAATGCAGCAGCGAGGAGACGGTTGGAGGCAGTGGAGATGTCCTGTTTAAGGGCAATGTGTGGTGTAAATATTATGCAGAAAATTCAGAGTGTGGAAATTAGGAAAAGGTGTGGAGTTAATAAAAGTATTAGTCAGAGGGCAGAAGAGGGGTTGTTGAGGTGGTTTGGTCATTTAGAGAGAATGAATCAAAGTAGAATGACATGGAAAGCACATAAATCTATAGGGGAAGGAAGGCAAGGTAGGGGTCGTCCTCGAAAGGGTTGGAGAGAGGGGGTAAAGGAGGTTTTGTGGGCAAGGGGCTTGGACTTCCAGCAAGCGTGCGTGAGCGTGTTAGATAGGAGTGAATGGAGACGAATGGTACTTGGGACCTGACGATCTGTTGGAGTGTGAGCAGGGTAATATTTAGTGAAGGGATTCAGGGAAACCGGTTATTTTCATATAGTCAGACTTGAGTCCTGGAAATGGGAAGTACAATGCCTGCACTTTAAAGGAAGAGTTTGGGATATTGGCAGTTTGGAGGGATATGTTGTGTATCTTTATACGTATATGCTTCTAAACTGTTGTATTCTGAGCACCTCTGCAAAAACAGTGATAATGTGCGAGTGTGGTGAAAGTGTTGAATGATGATGAAAGTATTTTCTTTTTGGGGATTTTCTTTTTTTTTGGGTCACCCTGCCTCGGTGGGAGACGGCCGACTTGTTGAAAAAAAAAAAAAAAAAAAAAATTTGTTAATAGAGTAAATAATTCCCTGTGCTCAATCTTTTGTGCAAAATAATTTCTACCACTAGTTCATCTTTCTTCTTTTGTGCAAATGTATGTGTTCTGCACTGCTGCAGTCTCAAACCTTTGGTTACACAGAGTATTTATCAATTTCCAGCTAGCAGTACACTGAGGGGTATCATCCTTGAATTTTTATTTCATATCATTATTAGTTTTCTCTTGGTAAGTTTAGAGTTGAACTAAAATTTCTGGAACTAAACCCCTTGTCTTTTTTTTAGAGCTTTATGGTTTTATATTTGTATATTTTATTTCTTTTATGAAAAGTAATAACCTGAAACATAACTATATATGGCCTTTTAAGCTTAACATAGCTCAGTGCCTCACATGTTAGAATCTGGACCTAAGATTGAGCATGAGTTACACAATAAAACTAGCAAATTAAATGAACTCTACTTTCAGGATTAACATTCTTAAAAGAAAAGGAATTGTAAGGGACAGTTGCCATGTGGCTAGCTGGTCTAGTGGCTAACGCGACGGGCTGGAGTTTTGAGACTCTATGACCGCGGGTTCAATCCCGGCCGGGGGTATGGTTTATTTGCAATCGTGTCATTACGATTTCTTGAGTCAATACAGAGTACTGTGCCTGTATCAGAGCACTCCAGCTAGCCAAGGGCAAGGTCAAGTTCATGCAGCCACCCATCCATATACTGGATATACACAAAACAGTTTCACTACTTTGGTGTTGGGACTGTCATGAGAGAAGATAATACTGCATAAGAATAACTCCAACCCTGCTAAATTGAAACTTTCTAAGCCACCATAGCTACTGAGCCTATAGTGGAGTTTTTTAATGCAGTGATCCTTCTTTTATCAAATATCTGCATAGCTTAATGCCAGATAACAACCAATAAAATCATACAGAAGGAT